TCTACAGGCTGTGTGAATATGGGCAAGTTATTTAACCTCTCTGAGCTTCAGTTATCCCATCTGTGAGAAAGTGCCCCGGCTTCCTGCGTCCTCTCTCCACTGTGCACTGGCCGCGGGCTTCAGGAGCCTGCCTGCACCGGTCCTCGTCACAGGGCCCGTGGCAGGGAGAGCTCAGCTGCAGGGGCTGCTTGTGGAGCCTGAGAGTCAGGGAGAGGCGTGGAGGCTGACAGAGGGCTCCAGGTGGTGAGGCAACACGGCCAGAGGCTGCTTACGAGGACAGGGCTGTAAAGTGAGGTTTTGGAGAAACGGCATCATTGCCCACAGGTGGTAGGGGAGGGGAACCACGGCATGGGGTGCTGAAAGGGGCCTTAAGATCCATGTTATCCAGTCTCTGATTTTGATTATGAGGAAACCAAGGCTCAGAGAGGGGGAGCACCTTGCCCAGTATTACACAGCATGTTATCACCAGAGATAGGCTGTGGCCCCTCAGTCCAGGGCTTTTCCCACTCTCCCCGTTAAGCACCAAGCAGGTGTTTTCCATTTCTTCTAAAATCAGAGCTTGAGGTAAAATGTCTTGATTGCTGCAGGAAGGACATGAGTCACTGATAGGAAGGGACGTCCTGACCTAGATACTGAGATCGATTCTTACATTCCCATTTTGCAGACGAGAACACTGAGGCCCAAGAAAATGGAAGGACTAGTGTAAGGTTGCCCAGTGCCAGAGGTGAATTCCCAGGCCAGAGCTCTTCCAGTTAGAGCAGCTACTGCAGCCTGCTTCTCGTGGGCCAGACAGGCTCCGTGGCACCAGGACAGCCAGAAGGTGAAAACATACGCCCCAGGGCTTGGGAAGGGCTAGAGGACAGAAAGACAGAAATACTACTTCCAAGACCATGATTTTGCCTCTCAGCTTCCTTTCTTGCCGTGTCTCTGTCGGCCCCTGCTCGGAGCTGTCCGGCTGTCAGGCTGCCTTGTCCTCTGGGAGGAAGGAGACAATAGCCAGCCCGTCAGCCTCAGTTCCACTGGCAACGCTGAGTGAAAGAAAGTCAATATTTGCCCAGTGGCAAAGGACAGAAAATAAGTCTGACTTGGGATGAGGGTTGGGGGGAGTGATTCTGAAAGGGAAGGTTGCCGGGTGCATGGCCTCTGGTGTGAGCAGCTGATCTCTAAAGAAGCCTTTGGATTTTACTGCATTAAATAACCCTTTGTATCTCGGTCAGCATCCAGCCCCATTCGCCTGCACCATCCCGCCGGCAGCCTTGATCCCTAATAAATTTCCCTTATTGTTTGGACTGATGCCTCCCCGGCTTCCAGCTCCCTGGAGAAATGGGACTTTTGAAGCTTTTGCAGAAAGACCTTGGAGCAGATGGCCCATTGAGCGGAGCTCAGGCACAGCTGTGCAGAAGCTGCGAGAAAGCCTCGCCTCCTTATCTGGGCCCCTGAGCCCTGGCAAAGATGTGGAGAAAGTCCTTGGCAGGTCAGGAGAGTCTGTGAATGATTTTCTCCCCTATCTTTGTTTTGTTATCTTTCCATTTTTCTTCTCTGCATCCTGCTCCCTTGTTCTCTGGGTCCTGACGTTGGGGAGGGGCTGAGGGGAGGAGGTCCCAAAGCCCACAGCCTTAACTCAACTGAAATGAAATTCTTGAACCCGTGGCAGCTGCCGGCTGCCTTAATGGCTTTTGTGATTGTCACATGGCTCGTGGAATCGCGTCTTAGCAATTTAACAAAGGGTACATTTGGAAGCAGAAGCGTTTCTAGAATGAGGTAATAAGGCCGTACTGCAGCAGGAAGGGCTCATGTGAGGTACAAGGAAGGACTTCCTGCAGTGGGAGTCACCCAGTGTTGGTGAATCCCCGAGGTGGGAAACTGGGAGTGGATGCCTGGAGCTCGCTTGCCCTCTGGGGAATGAGCTAGCTTTGTCACCTGCCCCTGCAGAGGCCACAGTGACATTCCTAGAGGTCAAGCTGCCACCCAAGACTCAACTGGGCCGTATGGCTCCCAAACTCATCAGCAGGGCCGGCAGTCCCCAGAGACCAGACAGCCAGAGTGACCTCCACTGTGGGCTTGGGGCAGCAGGGGCCG